ACGACATGGATCAATTCAATTGGTTTCAGATTACCGAGGAGGTAGAAGAAGTCTCGGACATCTTAGTCTACTGGGCTGCATGGTTAAAGAATTCCTGATGGGCTCAGTTGTCACACATGGCCCTTGAGATTCATAGTATAGCCGCAATGTCGGCAGAGGTGGAGCGAGTATTTAGTAGGTTAGTGGTACCTGAAATGATTTACATTATACCTTGTCCAAGTTATTCTAGCTAACAGTATACAAATATAATATAGTGGAAAGAATTTAATTACAGACTGTCCAGGACACTTAGGCGATGAGGTTATTGAAGCTATAGAATGTATGAAATCATGGAGGAAGGCAGGGCTAATTCCGGGGGCGAGATTATTGGAGGTGGAAACGATGGTTCACGATCTTGAGACCCGTGAAATTGGGATTTCACCGGGAAAGCATGAAGGATTTGGTGTACCCTCAGGTGATTCTGATACTGGCATGCAGTCTGATATTGGAATAAGTATGTCGGGTAGTTAGTAGCCTCAGTTCATGACTATTGATTAAGTGTTTATATAGCACAGGACACAAATGAGATCAGAAAATGCAGGCTATATTATGGGCTCTCAGTTGTTAGTGATTATACATACTCCAATACTTATTAGTATCTAAGCGGGTGACCAATTTCTCAGTTACACTAGATTCGTTCTTGTACGCCTCCCTGGCTTACAGGCCCTACCTGTAACCATTATGGCATGCCCATCTCCCTCAGGGTCCTCCATTCACCTGTAGAGCCCACCCATTACTTACAGGGCCCGCCAGTCACCTATAGGGCCCTCCCGCCACCTGCAGGGCCCGCCCATCACCTATAGGGCCCGCCCGTCACCTATAGGGCCCTCCCGTCACCTGCAGGGCCCGCCCGTCACCTATAGGGCCCGCCAGTCACCTATAGGGCCCGCCCGTCTTCTCACGTTGTACAACGCATTTCGCCACCTGAGACACCTGTAGTCCCCGCCAGTCCGTCCCGGGCTGTCTTCCGGACGGACGCCAAGATAGCCGTCCGTCCCGGGCGTCCTCTCAGGTACTGCCGTCCGTCCCGTCCACCCCCGAAGACGGACGGACTAGACGCTTGGGTTCACTATGGGGGATGCGTACACGGTGATCCTAGCACGGGTCAAGGCACAGAACCCGACCAAATCAAGAATCGGCATGGAGGTCCTGATGTGGGTGTCCCATTCGGAGCGCCCGCTGCAGGCCGACGAACTATGCCACGCGCTCGCAGTGGAAAGGGGGTCCGGAGTGTTCCCTCCATAAGGGCATTGCTAGCTTGCTGTCTGGGCCTAGTCTCCCTTGAGGCGTCGTCATCCAATGACCGGTTGGTTCATCACACTCTACAAGAGTATCTCACACAAACCCCCGCCCTCTTCCAGTCCCCACGCCATGATTGCCGAGGTTTGCTTGACTTATCTCAACTTTCGGTCTGTATGAGGGTTTCCGCTCAATTCTTTTCGTGCACCAACAAATCCCCTTCTCCACTACCCTTCTCGCTATTGGGGAGCACATGTTAGGGGGAATTTAATGAAAATTTAAAGAGGCTAGTGCATAGCCTTCTTGTTGTTTACGATAGGCACATATCCTCTAGGTTCTTCCCTTATGATTGGAGCGAATGTAGAGTTCGTTTTCCAACCTTCAGGATGCCGAAGGGGTTTACAGGACGCCACTTTGCCGCATATCTTGGGCTTCTTGAGAATACGGTTGATTTGTTGGAGATAGAGAAATGGGATCTCGACGCGGTTGATTCGGAGGGTAACACAGCATTCATGTGGGCGGTTAAACTGGGACATGAAGGAGTGGTGAAAGTACTGTTGGAGCAAGATAATATCAATCCGGACCGAGCAGATAACGCTGGCTTGACACCACTTTCATGGGCTGTGCAAAGGGGGAGGACCCGTGTGGCAAAGTTGCTGCTGGAACCGGATGACGTTAACCTCAACGTTCCAGTCCTCGATGACCGGACCCCATTCGGGTGGGATCCTGGGATCCGCACTGAGGGTAGTGTGAGGGTACTGCTTGAGCAGAGCGAAGTTGATCTCAACACCGTGGGTCGGTGGGCCCCAGAGCTATTCCCGTGGGCAGTCCAGGAAGGGCGTGGGGATCTGGTCAGGATGTTGTTGGAACGAGAGGATATCAATCTCAACCAGCCGGATTGCGATGGCCGAACCCCACTCTGGCGAGCTGCTAGGATTAGGCATGACGGTGCTGTGAAGATGTTGCTTGGGCGGGACGAAGTTGATCTCAACACAGTAGACCGGGACGGCAAAACGCTACTCGTGTGGGCTGTCCAGGAAGAGTGCGAGGATCTCGTCAAGGTGCTGTTGAAACGGGCGGATATCAACCCTAACGTGCAGGATAGAAATGGTCTAACACCGCTCTCGTGGGCTCCGGGGATGGGGAATGACAGGATTACGAGAGAGCTGCTAGAGAGGAGCGATATCAACCTCAATACGCCAGATCACTATGATCGAACCCCGCTTTGGTATGCTGCGTTGATTGGACATGAAGGTGTTGTGAAGGCGTTGCTGGAACGGAACGAAGTTAACCCCAACACGACGGACCGAAACGGCCGAACACCACTCTCGCGAGCTGCTGAGAATGTAAACGAAGCTGTTGTGAAGGCCCTGCTGGAGAGGGAAGATTTTAACCCAAATCTGACGGATCCTCATGGCCGAACACCCTTGCTTGACATGGGCCGCCGCGAACGGAATCGAGGGTGTTGCTAGGATCCTGCTCAGCCGTGGAGACATCAAACCCGGCATTCCGGATAATTATGGCCGAACACCGCTATGATGGGCTAGTCGGGGTGGGCATCAGGGGGTCGTGAATATTCTATCCCAACAGGAAGGTTTCAGCCCCGACACGCGAGATCCCGGCGGTAAGACACTGCTTGCCTGGGGTCAACCGAGATGCGACTACAGGATAGTGAGGCACCCATCGAAACGAAATCATTCTACTCAACCATCACCTGCCGGTAGAGATTTATCAGAGATCCCCCCACCAGAGCCAGGTCAGCTGCCTGAGCCCGCCTCCAAACGCGTCTGCAGGTTTTGGCTTACCGGACCGAGACCCAAAGCTCACCCTGGCTCCACATCGTAAGACCCGATGGTGGTATTATAGCTTGCCGACTCTTATTATTACATACTTCTTTACATCTTGATTTCCTGATTCCATCCTATATTACCTTCTTTTAGTTTTCCTCCCCCCTTTGCCCCCCCTCCCTTGCTCTTTTCCCATTCCCCATTAAATCTCTTGCCTTCAGCACATTACACTCTTCTCTTCTAGCCATAGATTTTCCTACCGTAATATTCGTCATTGTATATACTCTTTCGAGATTAACCCGGAACGCATACAACACCCAACGTATCATACCCACACAATAAACTATTTACTCAGCAAATAAATCAGGCCACCTCCCACCCAGAAAAAACGCCAAACGAGGCCTATCGTTCTCTCCCTTTTCTTCCCCATCTAACACCCCCCTCCCCCCCGCCGGCGCCAGACCGCGCTCCAAGATGAACAAGTACAAATTGGGTGGAGGTTCCAGGAGCTGTTAGGAAGATGGTAGGTTCAGTGATCGGATTCAATATCAGAAATAAAAGATGGCCCCGAACGAAGTGAACAGTTCACTTTTACCCCTGGAAACTAGCCGAAATTGTTCCGGGAGCCTCTTTAGATATTCCACGGGAAAACATGTGAACTATCGGTATCCGATAAGAAAGAGCACCTTTGTAACTTCCGAATTGAATTACTTAAACTTTCTCCCCCCCGACTTCATTTTATCCGCTACCCCGTTGTCGCCTTAAAGCCATTACTTAATGCCCCACAGGACGGTTATACAATATCACAGAGACGCTCGAGCATAGCTTACATAAAGCTACAATAGAAAGGGCATACCTTACAACCACACCGCACCGAACCCAAATTGTTACCGCATTTGAACAGTAGTCCACTGGTAGTGATGCCCCCCCCCGCGCCTAATGCCACAACCCTCTTTAGCTATCCGGCTTTAACACACCCTCAACGAGACTCTCGCTCTCTTTCAAAACGGAGTGAGAGAAAATCTGATGCCAGGGTGAGGATAGGCTGCCTGCTGGAAACGCGTTTATCTCTCCCCTCTCCGTTTCCCCTTACCGACTCTTAAAGGAATAGAATATACTCTCGTGAGTATCTACTGTAGTACCAGTCAAACCCCGATATATACTGTTGTTCAAGCTTAGGAGTACCCGCATCATACAAGTAAGAAAGAAAAAAAATATTGGGAGTATGGTGTCGAACTCCCTTGCACTAATCTTACGATAAGGCAGTTTACACTGCCCTGATTTTTTTTTTTTAAAAAAAAAAGTAGCGATTTTTATGTGATTAGTAGAAACTGTTTTCAGGTTTTTAATGAAAATACTCAACGATGAAGAGATAAGAGATTGATATCATAGTGCCTAGATCTATGTCTCATTCCGCTCGCGGGAATCGGGGAGTGGGAAAAAATGACAGCCCGTGTACAGTACCGGTAATCACTCTCTTCCTCTCGTCCGGCAGGGCGGTACTGTATTATACCACCGGCGAGAAGGAAAAAAATCAACCCCCTAGCGATCGACTACCTATGCCATCAACTGGTCGGAAAAGATATCACGGTTGCAGTTTTGTACTGTACAGTAGCGTACCGCGATTTCTTTATTCATGAGGAGGTTTCTATCACAAACCTGATGGGGAAATTCTCGGGAAGCTCGTAGACTAGAGGGCAGGATGTCTTGAGTATGTTACGGCAGGAACTTTTGGGGTGTGGGGGAGTTTGATGGCCAAAGTCTACAAACTACAATATATGGTGGAAGGGGGGGGGACTATCGCGTTGCTACTTGAGGTTTTTATCTATCCTCACGCTCTCATCCTCACAATCTGGCTCACTGCGTCAGGTTTAGTAAAAAAAAGGTATACTCCATTCAACGTTTAATCGAATTTTCCTGATTCACCTCCCCAACTCACTCCTTATCCGGCATGTACGGATGCGACAAGAGCGCGGGCGGCCAGTCCGTGTCTTCCTTCCACGGCCTATCGAAAACATGTATGCCGGATCCAACTTCCAAGACTTTCTCGCCTGCATCCCTATCTCCAGCTTCCTCCACATCTTCCCCCTCTTCCTCCTCTAGCTCACTCCCAGCATTCTCCTCAACGATAAGGACTTCCTCGCCTCTTGCTCCCCTCGGGAACACAATCCCAGCGCTAGTATTCCCAGGAATCCTAACCTCCAATCTAAACCTAGCATCCTTGATCTCCCAGCGGACATACACCTCCCCGTAAACACTCAGAAATCTCACTTCAGCCCACGAAACCTCCCCACCAGGAACCGGTGCAACCCAGATCTTCTTCCAACCGGGCGCGGCGGGGGCGATCCCTCCGATACTAGCGTGCATCCACTCCGCCACCGCGCCAAGGGCGTAGTGATTGAATGACGTCATTTCGGCAGGGTTTATACTCCCGTCGGGCAGTATGCCATCCCAACGCTCCCAGACAGTCGTCGCGTCGTGCTGCAGTGGATACAACCAGCTAGGGCACCCCCGCTCGTGCAGCATGCGGTAGGCCAGCTGACGGTTGCCAGTCGTGGTGAGGGTCGGCAAAATGTACGGAGTGCCAGCGAAGCCGGTCGCAATCCTGAATTTTGACTTCTGGACAACTTCTGCAAGGCGCTTGCTCGCGCCTTCGACCTGTGCCGGGGTGGGGAGGATGCTGAAGCGGAGCGCTAGGACATATGCCGTCTGCGAGTCGGAGGATAGACGGCCGGCGGGGGTCACGTATTCGTGGTTGAAGGCTTGGCGGAGGGCGCTTGCGGATGCGGCGTACGCTGTGGCGGCATCTGGGTCGCCGAGGACGGTGGATATCTGGGAGAGGAGGTCCGTAACGTGGATTAGAAATGCATTCGCGACGAGCATCGGATCCGTACACCCATCTTGTGGGGCGTCGCCCGGCGCACTGGGATCCAGCCAGTCCCCAAATTGGAAGGTCTTGGACCAGAGACCTGTGGCCGGGTCACGTGGGATACCGGACGAGAGCCAGGACTTCATGCTAGTTAGTTGAGAGTATAGTATGTTTACGTCTCCAAATCGGGTGTATAACACCCATGGGAGCACTATCGCAACATCTTGCCAGATGGCCTGGGGTAGGCGTGGAAATTTGGCGGGGTCAATAACATCGGGCACCACCAGCGGGGGCACGCGATTATCGTTGTCCATTTGCTCAAATGCAAGGTCTTGAAGCCAGCCTTGGAGCATACCGCTGCAATCATAAAGAAAGCTCGCCGTCTCTGAGAAAACGTGAATGTCCCCCGTCCATCCCAGGCGCTCATCCCGCTGTGGACAATCCGTCGGGATTTCCAGAAAGTTCCCGCGCATACCCCAAACCACGTTCCGGTGGAGTCTGTTGATTAAATTGTTGGAACAGGAAAACCAACCTGTGCGCTGCATGTCCGTGTGCAGCACCCGGGCTTCCACGTCTTCCAGGAGACTCGAGCCCGCAGGCCAATTATCCACCTGAACATAGCGGAAGCCATGGAATGTGAATTTAGGTTCGTAGATTTCCGGCCCGCCACCTCCTTTCATGATGTAGTGGTCCGTGCATTGTGCTGCGCGAAGTGGTCGGGTCGCCACTTCTCCAGACTTCTCGAGAACCTCGGTGTGGATGAAGGTGATCTTGTGGCCGGCGGAGCCGCGGGGCTTGATCCGCAGCCGGCCCACGAGGTTTTGTCCAAAGTCTACTACTGACTTGCCGGATGGGGTTGTGAAGACTTTTACGGGAGCTCGGATCTCGGTGCAACGGACGGGTGGGCCGGTCGGAGATACTAGATCTGCGGTGGGGAACGGCAGCTCTCGTACGGCGCTCCAGTCGCCGCATCCTGTATACCCCGGGGAAGACCACCCGGGCTTCTCCAACCGCGCATCATACAATTCCCCGTCGTAAATCTCTGAATAGAGAATTGCGCCCGTTGAAGCTTCCCACGAATCATCCGAGACAACCCTGGTAACCGTGCCATCCTCGTGGGTAATCTCCAACTGGAATATAAGTCCGGTATCCTTTCCGTATATCGCTGTTCTGCCCCCTGTTTTTCCCTCCGATAGTCAGCAACTCCCCACCGTCCCTAAGTTGCACCGAACAAACCTTCAAAACCTATCCTCCCTCTATACCATCCCTCCCCCAAATACGCCCCAACAACATTCTGCCCCTTACGCAGCAAGTGCGCAACATCAAATGTCTGGTACTTGATCCGGTGCCCATAACTTGTCCACCCGGGCGCGAACTCCTCATCCCCCACCTTCTTCCCATTAATCTCCACTTCGTAAACCCCCAGCGCCGTAACATACAGCCTCGCTCTCTTGATCAATTTACCCCCATCTCCCAACGTAAACTCCTTTCTCAATAACGTGGCTGGCACCCTCCCGCTTAAGTCCACCTCTCCAACAGCACATATCGGCACAGCGCTCCAATCATCCCGTTCAAAGAGACCGCCCTCAACACCAACCTCCTCAGACCATATATCTTCTTCCTCGCCAGCCCCGCGCACAGCAACTTTCACCTTGACGATCTCTCTAGAGGAGATATCGGCCCCGGGCCATGTTACAGCGACGCTGGCGGCGGAATTGACGTAGTAGGTAGTCGGTTGCCAGTCCGGACGGTCGAGCCGGATCTGGTAAGTCCTCTGATGCCAGTCGGATTTAGACGGTGTAGTTTTCCAAGATAAGGTCGGGGATTTAGAGGGGGAGGAGAGGAGGTGTTTGGTCGGGCGCTGGTGGTGGAAGGCGATGGAGTCCACCGACATTATGGATCTTCGGTTTTGGCTGGTCGGTCGGTCGGTTGCTGCGAAGGCCAGTGCGGGGGTGAATCCGCGAGTTTATGGGCGGTCGGCTAGGTCAAGGGATGAGATGTTCTTACCATTCGAGATGTTGTCATACTGCGCGGTGTTGTATCATATCATAGCGGATGCTACTACCGTGGTCCCGACCTTGACCCCCTGCTGCGATTGGGTAGCGCAATTCTAGGGGAGTATCGGCCCAAAGAGCGGGCTCATGGGGTCCGGAGCCGCAAGGATTGTGAGCCACCAAAAGTTCTGTGAAACCTAGAAGTAAGCGAACTTAAGCGATTCACCAGCTCTACCAGAGTGCAGTGTTTGGGCTGGATACGCATAGTAAATAGTGCTACAAGTATATTAACCCAAGTGCAGCCCCAGCATTACCACCACTCTACGGTACTCGAATTCTATTTTTGGTAGACCTCGGCTTGAAGTTCCATGACGAACCCCACCGCATTGCCGCTGAGAGCGCTCAAGTGCTCCTTAGGCAGGATCGGGCGCTCCTGTACTCTCATTCGGGTATGATTGTCCATCCAAGACATGTCGGAAAGCAGTCGACTGCAGACGGCTATCACAGAACTGGCCACTGCACCAAGCGAGAGACACACTACCGTACCAAAGTGCTATTATAACTGCTAATAATTCAGTAAAAACCCGCACCATACCGTAATCGCACTTCGCATCCACTAATAGGGCCCGAGCTGAAGGTAGGCTCTCTGTCAGGGAAACCACATCAAGGAACAAGATCAATCCACACCAACTATACTGCAGAATCATGCACTTCCTATTCATAACCCTGCACAACCCCGGAAATACTGCAAAATATTATACCATTCAAGTACTGTACGACCCCCGTGCCCTCTAACCGTTGTCGACTACAGACGGACAGCCCTATTCCCCGCTAAGCCGAGGAGTACCAAAGTGATCGGAGGGTTAGAGGCACCGGCCCAGCCCCTCCCCACCGATACTACCCCACGTCTCCTTCCATTTTCCGCGTTACACTTTTTTTCTTTCCCGCCCGTTCCAGGTTTCATTCTCACAAACTTTTTTGTGCCCCAGCTAGTCTTCGAAAAGTATTTCATCTCACTTGAATGAAGTATTTTTTTTGTCATTGATTATTACTAGCAATTATCCGACCAGGGTTACCGGTTGTGACGTTCAGGGCATTGCGTTCACGTCTGACGCAATGCGGTACACAATATCATACAGCGATATTACGGAAGGAGGTCCGTTAGGTGGGGTGGGGTTCTTCAGGGATTGAGTTGCGGTGCCTCCCTCCGAGATCCTACAGCCATGACACCAGGAAGAGTGGTGGATTGCAGTGGGGTGACTAACAGCGCAGCAGTAACTCACTCGCTCTAATATTTAGCGTTTTGTGAGAAAGGTACAATAGTCAGGAACTTCGTTGTCTTGTCCGTCTCTTCTTCCTCCCCCTAAACTAAACCAACGGCAAAGACATGGGTAGATGATAAACAGGATATCATAGAAGAATTCCGATCCTTCCATTGATCACCACACGCACCCCTTTTCCTCCATGCTCATCCCCATTCCTCCGCAACCTCCCGCGGGAACAAAGGAAAGGCGCGTCATTAGAAACTTCTCAGTAAATCGCTAATGCTGTGGAATACTCCACAACGCTCCCGAATGATGCACCACCTCCTATCTCTTTCAGAATCACCCACAACATTCTATCCCCCTTCCCCGACCATTAACAGGAGCGATATCGTAGGAGGCGGTATACCTGCGATCAGTCAGCCTGAGAATGCCTGCGTTTCCCCCCACTATTACCAACCAGCAGGTGAACACCATACGTAGTCAGTATGGTCCGCTTTGTGTATGCTGCTATAACCAACAACAAACACCCCAGAACTTCCTTGCACAGTACAGTACCTGGGCTGCCTTCTGCGCGTACCCAATTAGTATCAACCTCCCTTCCGGGATGACTCTGCCGGAGGGGTCCAGATAGGTTTCGCGGGTAGGTGATCTAGGGGAGATCTTTGTTTGAGCTAAACTTTTTTTTCTCCCAGTTTTTTCTCTTAAGTTTAATCATTTACTAGGACAAAAAACTCGTGCCAATGGCCGTCTTACCCATAAACCGAACGTTCTTTACCAACGGTTTTCTCATCCCCAACAAAGTCGGGTATTCCATTTTGGGCCAAGAAATGCTCGGAAACAGGTGGGCAGATGCTCTTCGGCAAAGAAAATTGAATGGAAGGTTTTTGGAATCGATAAACCGTTGATAAACCGGAACAAATTTGGTTATCATGCATCTTTAGTACTGCACCTCTATACAGAGTCTTGTCACTACTAGGCCACACTAGGCAATAACGAAAAGCACCATAAGTCATCTATTTACGCACTTTGTATTTTCCTTATGGAAAGGAACAGCTGTTCTCTTGATTCTTAGACCTTGAAATTATCCACCCAAGCGGTGCCGAACCCTAACTCCCCGCAAATGACTAGTTTTTTTTTTACGTAAAATGGCCAATGACCTCAGGTTTTTGTCACCTTACCGTATAACCCTCCTATCTAGAAATTTTCCCAATTTTTCCAATTTCTCAAGCGTACAACTTCAGTGCCGAAAGTCTAAGGCCCTATTTTGCAACAACGGAACAGAAGGCAACCATTCCATTTCAGAATGGTTTGCTACCTAGAAATGGTCGTTGTCAGTTCCTAACCTTCATGCTCCCTAACAGGTGTTTGGATCGAAACGGAAACGTTTGTTGACTATGGCAACACCTAGCGTATGATGAATAATTTTTCTTCTAACTACTAGTACCAGTTATTTAAAACAAAATCTTTCTCAATCTCTACTAGTAATTCTATATATTCCCAATTTCCACATTTCTTTGATATAAACTGGCTCCTTGGAAAGAAGGAAAAAGACCTAAATAATAACACTGATCATTCTTTGTCTACCTGATTAAATGTGTGTAGCATTAATGGCACCAATATGCATATATGTAGTGATTGTGTCCTTTAAACAAAGGAGTATAAACATTGTTGTATACCAGTTAAGAACTCATGTTATGGTAGATCTTTTTTTCTCCTCTATATTATATAACTAACAATTTACATCCGATAATGGTTGGCTTGGACCATTTCTGAACAGAACACTTGACAGGTTCGGTTTTTGCCAAACAGCCATTCCGTTCCAAAACTCTAAGGGCCTGTTCGGCGGGAACGGAACGGTTCCGTTCCCCCATACAAATGACTGTTTCCTTCCGTTCTGAAGATGCCAAGACAACCATTTCCCCAGCAAAAATCACCAACGAACGGAACGGTCGACCCGTCTACCGTTCCTGCCGAACAGGCCCAAAGACATATCATAGCAAAAACCGAAAATAACTAAACCAGCATAACGAAAAAAATATCCAATTAACAGGAGAAAATAGCAGTATCTTTCAGTGTAGCACAGCTGAGCAGGGAAAAAAAGACCCCAGAATTTCTCCACTCTTAAAGGAAATGATTCTGACCCTCTCGTGAAGGGATGGTCCCCTCTCACCGAAAAAGAAAAAAAAAATTCAGCAGTCGGTATAAGCGGCTTTCGATCTACGAGTGCGGCCGATAAATATATTCGTCACGTGCCTTATCTAAGGACAAATTGCAGCCAAAAGGTGCGCCGAAACTTTCTTATCAGACTCACGTGACGAATATATCTATCGGCCTCACTCGTAGAGAAGGTATTGTAAATATATGTAGAAGGGGGTTTTCCGAATACATCGCTCACGCGCCGACTACTGTTTATGGTGTCATTTATCCGTATGTCACCCCGGGTATGGGACAAATATGCTCCCACAAAACTGCTGTCTCCCCTACATACATACCTCCGGGTGTGCTGCTCTATACTCGAGTACATGCCCCATTAACCTCTGTGCCTCCACACCTACGGGCGTCGTGCATCAGGGGCAAGGGTTGGTCCAAAATTCACATCCGATCACTCGCCTGAAGGATCCACCTGCCAATATGCTCGACTTTTCTCAGGTCTCCAGAAGGGGGAATAAGTAGGAGATTCGCTTGCGGTATAATTGGTTGCTTAACAGCAAGTCGCTCACGTTCGCAAGACTTGAACATTGGTCGTGTAAAGAAGCAACTGTATTCAGCAATTTCAACAACCCTATTCTAAAGAGTCTTGATTCGTGAGGCCATCCTCACAGACATACGGTGCGAGGTCACCCAAGAAAACCACGAACACAGACCAAACGAAAACGCATAAAAGGATATACCGTCAGACAACCTATTTCAGGAAATGAAGCCAGGAGATGAAAATTCATATCCCGACAGAACCCGGCATGACTTCTCGTCCCGTGCAGATACCAAAATCCAGCCCAAACATAACACCCCCGATAACGAGAAAAAAGATATCAAAAGAAGCGAGGGATGTGCATGTGATAAACTCTTCCATCTAACAATAAAAAGAAAGAAGTGGACGGGTCCATTTTCAAATCAAAGATATGGTGCGGTCACAAATATAACAAGGACTCAGTCCGTAAGACGAAGCAGGGGGAAAGGGTTTTCGCTGCACAAAGTTAGATACGGTAAACCGAGAGGAAGCGGACTATTTCTATGGTGTATTACAAACCAGACATCTTAGGCGCCCATGTGCACGAAAGGCGCCCAGGCAAGAAAATTGCGCGGCTCCTGGTCATGAAATTTCTTCACAGCCTGGTGGGAAGCGATGGGGATGGGCTCGTTCTCAGTGCCATTCCCTTGGTATTGGAAGAGAAAGTTGTAAAAGTCACTCGCAACTTCACTAGACGCACGGTCCTCTGTTTTCCACAAGTTTGCCAGCGTATGGCTGAATCCGGCAAGTTGAAATGCGCTGGCGAGATGTATGACTTCGTCGGCTAGGGGTGTGGAAGGGTTTTTAGCGGAGGAGCAGGCGGAGAGATACGCGAGCTGTGCATTGAGCGGAACCGTATTCGGTATATCTCGAGCCAGTAGTTTGGCAGCACTACTCCCATCCGGAGTAAACAAAACAAGATGGCTATTCGAAGGGTTGACATCAGACACTCCGTGGCAGGCAAAATGGACAATGTCATGATTCTGGATTTGCTTGAGGACTTCGGCCGGGGCTGGGTTGCTCAATATTGTGGTCTCAACAGAATTTCTAGTGGCCGAATCACATATATGTTGAACTTCTTCAGTGACACCCGGTAGACTTATTCCGCCAGGGGTTTCTGCCATAGGAACGAGAAGTAAGCGGAGATTCCGTCTTTCCGTCTTTCCGTCTTCATGGGGGCGTTCCGTAGAAAAAGAAGCACCATCTCTGTCGAACATGAATTGTGTCCGGCGTGCATAGGCGAGGGCTTTGATTGTCGGGATATATGTTGAGATGGCTCGACTCAAAGTGTTACGGGTTGACCGCCGTGAATGGTACCCGGCGGCATGGAATGGTGCTATGCTTAACCGCCCCACGCCAATCCACCAAATCCGTTTAGAATTGGTGCCATGGGCGCCCTCCCTGATAATAGTCCCGCTTCGTTGAAGATCCTTAAAAACGGGGCCCACCGCAGCATCCCATAACCAAATAAGGAGGTCCTTCATTTTGCTGCAATCTTGGCTTCGCTTAAGCCACCCTCCTTCTCCAAAACTCGCCAATTGCCCCATCCAGTGGCTTGTTTCTCTGTGGTTTAATTTCGGGAGTTCTAACGAAGTTATAGCTGAGGTGGTGACAATTATGGCGTCACCCCTATAAGTAGTGCTGTTGAAGATAACAATGGGGCCATTTTTTGCTATCTCCATCAGAGCCTCCGGAGAGGGCGGGAGCAGGAATCCGTGATAGCCAGGTAAAGCCCGGATGCGGGTTAGGACAGTTTCCATCTCATTGACAGCCTCCCAACGTCTGAATATTGTACGGTTTCGGCATGGACCCAGCGTTTCGTCGCTTATACAGTTCATTTCATCCACTGGCGCGTCAATCTGGACTCGAAGGTGATCAAACTGGTCGAATTCAACCTTGTAATCGGTTTTAAGATCTGATTCTTCGGACTTTGAGTCAATTGTAAAACCCATAATTATCCCACGACCGAGCTCAAGTAGCTTGAGACTATGATAAGCTTCTCTCCCGGCCTGGAGAGCTACGGAAGCAGCCGCTGATGCTAGCCCTGAAAGTTCTGACAGTATGTGCTGTTGGTCATCCCGCCGCAATAACTGTAGATTAACACTGGCCATCAGGCCAACCGCGCCCTCGAGTATAGAACTTGATTCATGAAACCTCTCTTTTGAATACAGCAGACATGCTGCTTTGTAAGCCGCATCAATCCGAATCCTAGGCGGTGAGATGCGGCAACTGTAAGCCTCTTTGTAAAGGCGGAGGCTTTCGTTTAAATCTTCCACGAGGTGGAGGTTCGAGAGCCTTGATTCCAAAAGCATACCCAGGGCAGTGCACACAGTTGCTCGATCCGGGTGATCCTGAGGGGTAGCAGCTACTGCTTCTCCACCGTGCTTAATAGCCTTCTGGAGGTCGCCAAGGTCTCCTATACTCTTAAATCTCTCCCCGAGCATGACTCCCAGATACTTGTGCGTGGCTGCTCGGCGGGGGTGATCATGAGGGGTGGTAGCTAGTGCCTCCTCGCAGTGCCTGATGCCTTTTTGGAGATCACAGATGTCCCCTGTCCGCTTAAACCTCATAGAGAACATGCTTCCCAGGCTGCTGTGCACGGCCGGTCGGCGTGGATGAGCTTGAGGGGTTGCCACTAGGGCTTCTTCGCTACACCCAATGGCTTTTTGGAGATCGTCAAGGTCTCCTATCCGCCCAAATCTCGTAGAGAACATGACTCCCAGGTTGTTTTTCCTGGCTACTAGATATGGGTGATCCTGGGGGGTAGCATCCAGTGCCTCTTCGGTGTGCTCAATGGCTTTGTGGAGATCGCACAGGTCCCCCATCCGCTGAAACCTTGTTGAGAACATTGCTCCAAGGTTGTTGTGCCTGTCTGCTCGATCAGGGCGATCTTGAGGGGTAGTAGCTAGTGCGTCTTCGCTATGCCTAATAGCTTTTTGCAGATCGCAAAGCTCTCCAATCTGGTCAAACCTTCTATAGAACATGACTCCCAGGTTGCTGTGTCTAGCTGCTGCATCGGGGTGATCTTGAGGAGTGGCGGCTAGTCCCTCTTCGCTGTGCTTAATAGCTTTTTGCAGGTCATCAAGGTCTCCCATCCGCTCAAATAGTGCAGAGAACATGGCTCCAATGTTGTTGTGTCTATTTGCACAGCCCGGATGGTCCTGAGGGCTTGTAGATAGTGCTTCTTCGCAGTGCTTAATAGCTTTTCGGAGATCTCCAAGGTCCCCCGTCCGTGCAAACCTTAAATAAAGCGTGGCTCCCAGGTTGCTATGTCTAGCGGCCCCATAGGGGTGATCTCCAGGAGTAGCAGCAAGCGCCTCTTCGCCGTGTGTAATTGCTTTTTGGAGATCTCCAAGGCTTCCAGTCCGCTCAAACTTCGTAGAGAACATATTTCCCAAGTTATTGCGTATGCCAGCTCGGTGCGGGTGACCCTGAGCGGTAGAAGCTAGCGCCTCTTCGCTATGATTAATGGCCTTTTGGAGATCACCGAGGTCTCCTGCCCGTTCAAATCTCGCCAAGAAACTGACTGCCAGATTGTTGTGCCTGTCTGCGCGACCCGGGTGATCTTGGGGGGTAGCAGCCAGAGCCTTTTCCCCGTGCTCGATAGCATTTTGGAGGTCACACAGGTCTCCAATCCGCTCAAACCTCCTCCAGATGCCCACCGCCAGGTTGTCGTGTCTCTCCGCGCGATTGGGATGATCCTGAGGAGTAGCAGCCAGTGCCTCCTCGTTGTGCTTAATGGATTTTTGCAGGTCACCAAGGTCTCCAATCCGTTCAAACATAGCAGAGAGCATAACTCCAAGGTTGTTGTGTCTATTTGCACGATCCGGGTGGTCTCGAGGCCAGTAGCTAATGCTTCTTCGCCGTACTTAATAGCTTTTTGGAGGTCACTAGGGTCTCCAATCTGCTCAAACCGCCTCCAGATACCCACTGCCAAGTTACTTTGCCTGTCTGCTCGATCGGGGTGATCTTCAGGGGTACCAGCTAGTGCTTCTTCGTTGTGTTTAATGGCATTTTGCAGGTCATTAAGGTCTCCTATCCGTTTAAACCTAGCAGATAGCATGGCTCCCAAGTTGTTGTGTCCATCTAAACGATCGGGGTGATCTTGAGGGCTAGCCGCAATTGCTTCTTGACTTTGCTTAATGGCTTTTTGAATGTCACTAAGGTCTCCTATCCGCTCAAACCTCGAAAAGAGCATGGAACCTAGGTTGTTGTGCTTGGTTGCTCGACCAGGGTGATCTTGAGGGGTAGCATATAGCGAATCCTCGCCATACTTAATGGCTTTTTGGAGATCATTCATGTCCCCTAACCGCTTATACTTTCCAAAAAATATACTTCCCAAGCTCCCGAGTGCACTGATATTGCTCAGGTCGCTGGGGAGAGTCCCTCCGACTATTTCTTCATTGATGTCGGCAGCCAATTCCAAATCACTTATTTTCTCCAGCCTCTCGAATCTTGTTATCAACATAGCGCTCCACTTTTTGAGCATATCCACCCGAGCGGGACCACCCAGGAGACACTCCTCCGTCGTGCTTTCCATCTGAGTGATGGACTGGCTAAGGTCTGTCACGCCGCCCAGCCGCCGATAACTTCGAAAAAAATCCCCACTCGGGTTTCCGGGGGTCATAGCTCTAAAAGTACTATCGGCCAACGAAATTGCTTCATTGAGGAAGATTATGTTGCGCGTTTGCTCATATTGAGAAAAGAGAGCATCAATGTTTTCCATCGTGCCACCAAAATCTTCCCGTCGCCCAGGGACTCCAAGATCTTGACCCGATGTGCCGCTCCCGGAAACCCGCACACGTCTTGGGCTGGGCATCCCCGCTATCTGTTGTCCGCTAACACCGTATTGCGTAAGAACCTCGTGAGTACAATTGAACGGCGCCTCGATATATTGTGCGGATAAGGGGCGCTTTCTAGGACGAGATCTTGATAAATAGGCTGGAATTAGCATAAATTAGGGAGCACAAATTAAGACCAAGAGCAAGCTCCTCAAATACCTCTAGCACCCGTGCTTGCCCCTCGGTGATTCGTCCTAAGGCCGTGTTCCTGAACTGAACGCCCGGATGCAAAATCCCTATATTAGAAGAGCACAAAGTCAGTCTATAGCTCGCCGAGGGGAGTTACTTGGCCTCTATCCTACCTTTTTTGGCGGCGTGGTATTCCTTTCTTCCGTAGAACCTAATTCTGTCCCCCGGCTACTTTTTCGCTCCTTTTTTACCTTTGCTTCTCCAAGCCAAAACCGGAACTGGTAGAAAAGAAAAGAAAAATCGTACTAGGGAGAGCTCGATGTGAGTTAGTGAGCGATATGGAATGGAAAGGTTTAAGTGACTAGACCATCCAGCCACAAGGCTGAGAAGCGCGCACGCAATTCCTCCAAGCCGAAAGACCTTGGCATGTGTAACGCCTTTTCACATACAAAACCGACAGATCACAATGAAGCTCTGCATTTTCAGGATGCGTCACCAATCCCCGGGCCCAGTGCTTTGAATCCAACCATGTGGGCGCTGGTTCCTATCACAAGGCGCCCGGCTAGTTTATCATATCAAAACAAATAAGGTTACCATAATCTCGTCAAATCCACTATTTTTGGCCTGTCACGAATACCGGTATCCCTTTACTTGCTCGCGACATCCGCCCAAGATAGGTTTAGCTTGCTAAGTTAACAAGTTCCAACCCAATACCGTGTCAGGAAGGCACTAATCCTTTTTAAGGACTTTTGACTGAGGATCCGGAGATTAGGGGCTGCCGGAGATAGTGGATTTGACGAGAATACGGTATATATGAGAAACTCGAATCTGAGGCTCCCAAGACCTCGCATCTACTAAAAGTACGGTCCATCAGTGTCCCCAGCTACTTATAAATAACCCAGGGCTACCATTCATGATTCTTATCTCATGGGCCCCCACCCTAGCCTCGCTCATCACTTTCTAAGTGTTGCATCTCTTGTCCAAGATTCTAAGCACATCTCACTAAGGAGATCTAATTTGCGGAACCCCTCTACACTAGAATTACGGCGCTTGAGAAGTTCTCCCTATACCAATCCCGGGGTTGGCCTCTGAATATCCCGGATAACAGCAGCTTGGCGTTGTCTTCTGCATCTGGTACCGCATTAATTGGCGAAACTGGAAATGAGTCTAGGATGAAAAAGGAAGAAAAATGCGAGGCTCCACTGTTAGCTCAAGCCACAACCATGGATGACTCACTTTTATTTCAACCACAATTGACTCACATATGTTGATCCGGAGAACAATTTATAGAAGAAAAAGATTTATACTTCAAGTAAGTTGTAGTGCGCTCACCACCCGCAGTCCCCGATCCCAATAATCCGGATACCTTGCTGTCTCCTATCAATCACCTCGCTGTCCTCTATCAATCACCTCGCTGCCCCCTATCAATCACCGTGAACTTTGAATTTCTCCCACCAAAACCTAGCTTGATATCCTGAATCAGTTGCTAAACTGGACTGATTCTTCGCATTTTGGCTATCCGGGATAGTGGAGGGCGAGTGTACACAAGTGAGCAATCGTGAAGGATGAATATCCAATACCTGTTAAATCCAGAGCTCGAGCTCATAGCACAACATATGCCAAATTCAATTCCCTGCCAAGCTTTGGAAGAGAGGATACTACCTGTTTTGCCACCTCCAAGTCTGAGCCAGCTGTCTGAAGAGCCAGCTGGCACCAGTGGCCTGCATAATCCTATGACTCTGCCTCTGAGACCTCCCAGAATGCATCCACCCACCTCTAGCTACCACCCACGGCCAGGCCCCTGATCCAAGCCGATTGAAGTCCGTCGGGAAGAATCCTTTTCTAGGGCAAGAAAGCGAATACAACGTTCCTACACTCGTGAGTTCAAAATTGAGGTACTTCAGTGGTGGTTTCATCACCGAATACCTCAGGAAGCAGCTGGAAGGATGGGAGAGGAAGCAGAGGATAAGGAACTGGAGGTGTGTTACACATATGAATGCACAGACCTCCCCCACGCACAGACCTCCTGAAAACCGCCAAAAATCCATGGCCAACACCCCCCTCCGGCCCCGCCGTTGGCCCTGCACACAGTAATAGTGTCGCCGGAATTTGGTGTCCCGACAGTATAAACCGGTTGAAATGAAGCATGCTTCATAACACCATATATGTCGTTGCCGTCCGACCGAAAGCTGTTCACGGGATATATAAGAGGGGACCTCAGGCCGTGTCTGAAAAGTGGAACGGAGCGAATCAGGCAGGTAACCATGGAGCTACGAGCTAAGCGAGATTGACCATCTCGGACATGGACAGAAGGTGTTGGGACGAAATCACCAACAGTCCAATGAGTTATCGGGACGTGCTCGTATGGATGAGGCACGGAGCCCAGTCAAGTGCTCGCATAGTATAGAGCCCACCGGAGGCCTGTCTGTGAGTGAGGGACTTTCCTACGGCGTTGACTAGTCCGATCGTAGCGGAAAGTCCTCAATGTCAATGCGGTCGAGTTGCAAAGCCAACAGGCATATTGATAAGTCTCTTGACAGAGTTGATCACTCCAGTCAGAGTAAGGAGGATGGTGAGTTGACTCATAGTGAGACCACTCATCCATACTTAAACCTCTGAGACGAAGGAATCGTGCGTTCTTGCCAGAGAGGTTTCAAGGCCCTGGCGGAAACATGACAACGTACGGAGACCATAGTCCGAGCAAGACGCAAGTTTGTCAGGGTCAAACGGATCCCCATGACGATAGTAAGGGGAAGGAAATACCAAAGGTACATTGTTTGGTAATAGATAGATGTAGCCCACGACTATACTGACGGGGAATATAGATATTGAGTTGCCTCCCTAGCTTTCAGAATCAGCAGCGAACGGAGAAGAGATCTTATCAATATATTCGTTATACTTTGATACCTACTTTCATTTATGAGCTTTCTTGACCACTCTCCGAGAAACCTTATTGGCCCCAGTTACAATTCGTCTGTCTTAGAATTGGCTGCCGCCTAACAAGGTGCTGCGAGTACCACTCATGAAGGAGGTATCAGAAAGGTATTTGGTACCAATCATGACACTGCATAACTGGAGGGTACATCAGGGTGAGATAATTGGAGGAAGAAAGGGAGAAAGAAAAAACAGATCTGAAGCAGGCAGGTGTGCTTGGCCAGAGTTGGAGTCAGAACTTTATGATGGGTATCGAAAAAGACGAGATGAACGGAAGGCGGTACGGTGGGGGTGGCTCTGACATGAGCTTTCTGATCTTTACCAACTGCTATCCCGCGAGGGATATTTGGGAATTCAATTTTTCGAATAGCTGGCTGGCGGGCTTCTTTTCTCAACATTTGATTACCCTTCGATTCACAATAAACAAGTCCCAAGGGGTGCCTAGAACTACTTACAAAGTATTCTTTCCTGGTTTCGCTGTAATCGGCGGAACTCACAGATTCGTGTGGCGAGTTATGATGAGGAAAGGGTGGTTGATTGGTACTTACTTGATAGGATTTGTAACCTCGACGAGACCCCCCTCCCGTTTGAATATTAAGATGGCCAGACATATACTGACAAGGGTAGCCATTCAGTTCAACTTAAAGCTAGTAATAACGGCTGGGACAAGAGGCAGGCTACCCTGTTATTGGCAGTATTTGGAAGTGGAAAGGCAAGGATTTGGCCACTAATTATTTTTCGAGGTAAAGAGAAATATGAGGGACCCCGGGCAGCATATTTTCAAAAAAAGAGAGAGGAAGAAGCAGAAAGATATGATTCCCGGGTAGGAATCAAGTGGAATGAGGTAGCCTATGCCAATTGTGGTCTCTTGCTTGAGTGAATCAAGGAGTTTCTAGTACCGGCTCTTTCCTTAGGTCCAC